GGAGCACGAATCTTGGTGTTCTCCATGGTGAGTGTAGACTTAATCGAAAAGAGAATGAAGATTGTAGAAGAAGAAGAAGATTTGCAAGGAGAGTTTCGGAGAATAGAGTATGTGGAGCTTTATCGCTCTGATACCATGTTAGAATGTGGAGATTAGGTTTGCGAGAATGGGACTAAGGGTGAGAGATTAGGTGCGGAAATGAGTGTGAAAGAGGAAAAGATTTGATGATGAGAAAGAGAGAATTTCTCTTCTTACTTAATTTGGCAAAAATACAAGGTTCCCTTTAAAGGGCTTTACAAAAGGAATATTCAAGAGGATATGGTACTCTTATCTACACTTGTACCATAAAGCAAAAGTAAAACGCGTCATAAAGCAATCCGCGTCTCCTTCCTTCTTTGAACGTGTAACGGCTATAAGGGAAGGATCCGGAGGCTTCTAGAAGACTCTTGAAGAGTATCCAAGGCTAAATGGTCGAGAGAAATCTTCATGGGCCGAGGCAAATATTCAACCGTACGGACGGCCTTATTCTCTCGTACTGCGGGTCGTCCCGCGGGTTGGTCTGATCGTCCTGCGGTACGGTCCGATTCTTGCTCTAGAGATTTCACTCGTCCCAAACTCTTCTTTTACAGATTTCACTTGACCCGAATGACTTCTCTTGATTATTTGGTTCAATAAGATCGAGTGATGGTGAGGAGATGAAGGGTCGAGTGAAACTTTCAAAGGCTGCGGAATCTCCTTTGAACTTTCGAACTTGAGTCTGTCTGGATATGACACACCAAAGACATACACAAGCAGAGAGAGTGATATGACACACACAATCTCAAGATCAAACGAAATTCAGAAAGAAGTTTTGGATAGAAAATGTTTGATAACGTTTACAAAGGAGAAGAAGCGAAATATAAAGAAGAAGAAGAGAGTTCTAGGGAGATGAAGAGTTATTCTCGGGAAAGAAACGACATTAAACACACACAAGACTGATTTCGAATTTGTCATGGGCTTCTCCTTTGGTAATGGGCTGCGAGACATCATTGGGCTCGAGTATGAGTGTGTGAGCTTGCCTCGTTAAAAACATCTCTTGGAAAACCCATTGGGACAAAACCAAGAGGAGGGAAAAAGAGTGCAAGTCACACACCTCCTGATGCGGTCATCAACCCAAGAACCAACCATGGAGAAGATTATGGGCGAGAAAAAACAACCCAGGAGCTGCCAAGTGGGATTTTAAACAAAGTTTTATCTACAACTTCGGGCCAAAGCAGATTCAGCCTATCCGAGAAGACCCCTGAGCCTTGTTCAGTCCAGACGAAGGCAAAGATCAATTCCTCCTGCCCAGAGATCACTTGGAATACATTCTCAGCTCAATTACCGAGCACCTCGAAGAAGAATCAGCCCAAAAGAAGTTCACACGAACGAGTTATTCAATTTACAAGTCGGGTGATTCCCAGCTTGCCCGATTTGGACATACACAGAGTCATTGGAGGATTCCGACCCGACCAGAAGGAGTTAAGTTACGAAGTGAATTTTCATACAATCTTAACTCATCAGAAAACCACAGAGAGTTGGAATCAAGTCAATACCAATTTTGGTTTGAGAGATATTAATTTTCTAAACCGAAGGAGCCTACACTTGCCTTATTTGGAACCTTTCGGGTTTAGGAGACTCCAAACGTACCATTGGCGCCCAGGAGACTTTAAGATACTTCTAGAAGCTCCCTACAACACTATAAGGTGCACCAAGACACATAGGATCAGGCGGATCCTCACATACCTTCACTTTCCATATCCGGAACCGATCTTGCCTTATCTGGCTTGTTTGAAGCCAAAGGAGATCAACCAGCAAGAAATCTTTCCCCATCTGTATGAGTGCGATTTAGAGACCTTCTGTGAACAAGAGACTTCCCAGGACGCACCACTTTCTCCCCAAGCTTTCAAGATACAAGCTAACGGCTACTTTCCTTATTTCGACGGATTTTGCCATTTCATTTCCAACGGCTAGTTTCTCATTTAATTTTGCGATTTGCTACTTGTTTTAGACATTAAAAACATTGTATTACGAGCCTATAAAAGCTCAGCTCATTCCTCATTGTAAAGAGACCCTTAATCGAGATTTTAAAGTTCATAAGAAACATTGTTTTCTTTTCTTCCACAAAGTTGCGAATTCTTTGTGTTTCCTTTCATTAGTTCTTATTTGAGTGAGTCAATTAAGTTCTTTTGAGTCTGCAAATCAAGTTGTTTGAGTGATTCAAACTTCTGGTTTGTTCATTGATTGAGTGAGTCAATCGCATCTATCCATCGTTCCATCCCTTGATTCACGAGAGAGTGCGTTATAGCCAGCTCGTGAATTCCACCTTCCGCAAGTTAAGCTTGGAATCTCTTGATCATTGAGTGATCATAAGTTGGATTGGTTCCAATCTTATATCATTTGGTATCAGAGCTCAAAGCTCCTATCAAATCCAGGTTGTGTTCATCCAACCTTTATCTTTTCAATTTTTCAGTTTTTGTTGTTTTAATTTTATTAAGTCAAAAACCAAAATAAAAATTTGTTTCTTCCTTTTGTTTTTGTGTTTTGAATTTGTTTCAGTATCATTTTAAAAACAAAAAAAAAAAAAAAATTTATTTGTGTTCTTTTTTTTATTTGTTTTTAATTTCGGTTTAAAAGAAAAATCCAATAAAAATTGTCTTTCTTGTTTATTTTAAATTAATTTTCGTAATTTATTTTATTAAATCAAAAAAAAAGAAAATATAAATCATTTTTTTTCCTTTTGTTGTTTGAATTTTTCGATTTTATTTTTAAAAGTAAAAAGAAATATCAAATTTCCATAATTTTTGTGTCTTGACTCTTTCTTGCCATATTTGTTGATCTAAAGGTTGATACACTTTCTTCTTCTTTGTTTTAGGACAAACGAATAAGAAGGACCAGAGCAATGGCGTCCTATTATATGGAGAAAGAAGAGATTGACTCCTATGAAGGTGATTGGAACCAAGACGAGGATGAGTACGAAGACATGATAGAAGAGGAGAATGACTATGGGAGACAAACGTGGTATGAGGAACGTGTTTCCAGTTCTGATTGTGGAGAAGAACCTGATGGTGAAGAACTGGAGCCGGAGCCACCTGATTGTTATCCATCTAGTCAACGTGCCGAGCCTTACACTTACATGCCTCAAGCAACGACCAAATGGAACCAACCAAGTTTAGGGTATTATGAGGACTGTGAGGGATATTACCATGAGGATCAACACTACCATTCCCCACATCGTGAAGAGAAAGACTATGTACCCCAATACTTAATCTTTTCAGGTTATAACCAAAGTACAGAAGATTACCTAAGGTGGAAAGAGATCATGGAGGAAAATTTTCAGTCTCGTCAAGTGCCTATGGAGGAGCAGCTCTCATATGCTCTTGATGCACTCACTGGACCAGCTTATGAGTGGTGGGAGCAAGAGGAGAATACCCGAGTCAACTATAATGAGCCAGCTCATACATGGGAAAGTTTCAGGTTAGAAATATATGAAGAGTTTGTGAAGAAAGCTACAGTTCAAGATCTTAGCTCGAGCAATCCCACTCGACCTCAAGTCGAGCTAGCCGGTCGAGCAGTCTCCACTCGATCTCCGATCGAGTCTGGTTGTAGAGCTAAACACGAAAAAGGCGTGATCCTATCCTACTTTCTCAAAGAAGAGCCACCGGACGAGCCACACATCCTTACACAACCACAATGCCAAGGTAAGATTCTACACCCTCATATACTTCCATGGACTAACTTGACTTATCTACGTGTAGGAGATCAAGTTTTGAGGACAAAACTTCTTGAAGAGGGAGGGTATGATGCGGTCATCAATCCAAGAACCAACCATGGAGAAGATTATGGGCGAGAAAAAACAACCCAGGAGCAGCCAAGTGGGATTTTAAACAAAGTTTTATCTACAACTTCGGGCCAAAGCAGATTCAGCCTATCCGAGAAGACCCCTGAGCCTTGTTCAGTCCAGACGAAGGCAAAGATCAATTCCTCCTGCCCAGAGATCACTTGGAATACATTCTCAGCTCAATTACCGAGCACCTCGAAGAAGAATCAGCCCAAAAGAAGTTCACACGAACGAGTTATTCAATTTACAAGTAGGGTGATTCCCAGCTTGCCCGATTTGGACATACACAGAGTCATTGGAGGATTCCGACCCGACCAGAAGGAGTTAAGTTACGAAGTGAATTTTCATACAATCTTAACTCATCAGAAAACCACAGAGAGTTGGAATCAAGTCAATACCAATTTTGGTTTGAGAGATATTAATTTTCTAAACCGAAGGAGCCTACACTTGCCTTATTTGGAACCTTTCGGGTTTAGGAGACTCCAAACGTACCATTGGCGCCCAGGAGACTTTAAGATACTTCTAGAAGCTCCCTACAACATCTAAGGTGCACCAAGACACATAGGATCAGGCGGATCCTCACACACCTTCACTTTCCATATCCGGAACCGATCTTGCCTTATCTGCCTTGTTTGAAGCCAAAGGAGATCAACCAGAAAGAAATCTTTCCCCATCTGTTTGAGTGCGATTTAGAGACCCTTCTAGTGAACAAGAGACTTCCCAGGACGCACCACTTTCTCCCCAAGCTTTCAAGATACAAGCTAACGGCTACTTTCCTTATTTCGACGGATTTTGCCATTTCATTTCCAACGGCTAGTTTCTCATTTAATTTTGCGATTTGCTACTTGTTTTAGACATTAAAAACATTTTATTACGAGCCTATAAAAGCTCAGCTCATTACTCATTGTAAAGAGACCCTTAATCGAGATTTTAAAGTTCATAAGAAACATTGTTTTCTTTTCTTCCACAAAGTTGCGAATTCTTTGTGTTTCCTTTCATTAGTTCTTATTTGAGTGAGTCAATTAAGTTCTTTTGAGTCTGCAAATCAAGTTGTTTGAGTGATTCAAACTTCTGGTTTGTTCATTGATTGAGTGAGTCAATCGCATCTATCCATCGTTCCATCCCTTGATTCACGAGAGAGTGCGTTATAGCCAGCTCGTGAATTCCCCCTTCCGCAAGTTAAGCTTGGAATCTCTTGATCATTGAGTGATCATAAGTTGGATTGGTTCCAATCTTATATCACCTCCAATGATGTCACTTAAACGGCTTGAATCACAACCAACGTGGTTGGATAAGCTTCCGGTTTAAGGCTGCCTTCCATGTGTTATAGAAGTGTGTTGATAGCTTGATTCAACAACTTAGTCTTGGATCTTGTCATTGGTCCAGTAGCAACTTGCAATGACATATCCTCTTCAGCTCCAAGTGAATCATGCTCCTTAGCTCTCTCTGTGGTCGAGTATCCCTTTGGTGCAGCTCCATACTCGATCACATCCTCATCTTGGTGGTCGAGTATGTCTTCAACATGGTGGTCGAGCATGTCTTCAACATGGTGGTCGAGTGTGTCTTCAAACTGATCCTTAGTTCCTTGATCCAAGCTTACCATGCTCACATCAGATACTCTCGTCAAGAAGAGAGAGAAGCCACACCAAATGATAGTACTATTGAAGTTCAAGAGAGTGGTAATGACATAGCTCAAGAGAGGGGTAATGACATATCACAAGAAGCTTCGGATAATCAACAAGGAATGGATAGAGAAGAAAGGTCTAGTGAAGAAGTGGTAGAAGAGAATCCATCTAATAAAAGGGAGGTCATTGAATTTTCAAGCGATGATGAGACATATCAAGCTCCACAAGTAACACAAGACTCCATCTACACTAGAGAGAATCCAAGAAAGAGCATGAGAGAGAGAGGAAATCTCCATCTAATTGGAAGAATACTAGAGTGTACTACAATTGTCAAGCCGTGGCTCATCCAATTCAAGG